CATTTGGAGGATGCCACTTAAATCTAAGCCTGGTGATCATAAGTCCCCAATTCATGTGTTTCTTTTTGTTCTATGTTTGTCACTGGAGTATAGCCGCCACTTACTCTTCCCACCAAAACGAAGCGCCAAGGACGGGCAAGGGACAGCGAGCCACCTGCGAACTGGGTGGCTCACCTTTGCAAGGAGATGGCGTGGGGATGCCTAGCAGCGGAACCTGCAGTCGTTTGATAAATATCGGCTATTTTAAGGTATATGGACATATATATATATATATCATATAAATATAATGTAACTTGTAGGCTATAATATATAAACATTCCATACCAAGGTTATATATGATGTATTACTGGAATGGTTTGAAGAACTTTCCTGGTAACTTGGTTGAAATTAGGTTCCTCGGCTTTGTTGTGCTGATATAAGGTGTGGTGTTCCCGGTGGACTTGTTTTTTTTTGACGAGGGGTTCCCCTTAATCAAATCCAAGTAAGGTATGGGACATCTGGATAGTTTTGGGGATGCAAAGCATTGGTGTAGTTACTATGGGTAGACAGTATTCATTTGGACAGGGAAACGGAGTGACAAACAATGGATGTAATATGATGTAATGTTATGTATATAAACTATAAATGAGTAGACTGTAGCAGGACATAACATAAGATATCCTTACATACTAATTTATATATATATATATATACATTTTTATATATAATATGTGTATAATATTATATATATATGATATGACTCTATAGTTTGTAGAACTATATCATATCATGTCATATCATGTCATATTATATTAAATGTGGTATATATTGTATTATATTGTATTATATCGTTTGTGTCATACCGTATCATATTGTATCATATCATATCATGTCATATACTCGATTTAATTCAGTTTAATATGTAGCAATTTTTGGAATGTCCGAAAATTGGGTATGCCATTCCAATGCAGGAGCAACAAATAGTGGATCGGGACTATTTATCTAACAACCGACCTCACCATTGATGATTGGGTTTGGGTCTCATCCCAAGAATCGCGCACATTTGGCGATAAGATTTGGCTGCCCAATGGGGACTTGAAGAGGGATCCATGTAGGGATGTTGATGTATGTTTATATATATATACATGTAGATATTGTAGATATTTACTATAGGGATCGCAGACATCCCAACCAATATATCCAAGTCAAATACAACGTTTGCATATTTCAAAGATCAATTTCTATGCAGGGCATAAACATATCATCATTGAAGATATTGAAGTCCAAGTCGAATGGGGTAGCCTGAAGATCCCCTTGGGCACTATTCGGTGGCAATATCATATGATACAACCTGATATATAAGGATCTGGTTGGTGGCTTGGAACATATTCTATTTGTCCATATATTGGGAACAATTATCCCAACTAATATTTTCAGAGGGGTTGAAACCACCAACCAGTACTGTGTTGTTCCTCCCCACATTTAACAATAACCATAGTAACAATAATAATCATCATCATCATCATCACCATCACCATCATCATCATCATCTTCATCATCATCTTCATCATCATCTTCATCATCATCTTCATCATCCCCCCATCGAAGCGTTGTTCTTATTCAAGCAAATGTTTGATGTTCCCTCTTAGTTAGGATCAGGATCATAATCCAATATGATCAAAAGCCTGGACTACTTGGATGTGGATGTCAGGAATGGTCTGGAACAGGTTCATAACGACATTTCTACTGGATCAACCCAGAAACATGTAGAGAAGATGGAGCCAGTAATTTATGGAGAAAACATCATCTATGCCATCCTGGAAATACTGCTTTTCGTTTTACTGGGTTGCTGTAACTGGTCAATAAAAATGTTTGACATGTATCAATGGACATCAATGGGACAACAAACTTGGGGACTTCTTTTCATCAAGGTCATGAACCGCCAGACAACACACCTTACAACACGGGGCCCTGTTCCCAGCTCTAAGCGGGCGTTAATTCCAATTCAACTTGCTATCCAAGAATTGGTGGATGTGACATTTTAGCGGAAAATCGCATCTTTCATCATATCCTTCAATGTGGTAAACCGAATCTCATAAACCATCCCCCAAATCACCATAAATGAGATAATGAGTGGGATTCCAACCATCCCCAGTCATGGTAGGTTTACGGCATTAGGTTTCCCACATGAATCTATAGTATTTGGCCGAGTATATTCATCATATGTTTGTATAAATTTCTATGGTAAAACCCATCGTTTCAAACTGGGATTTTTCCTAACAAATCACCCCCCATACGACGGAAGCCCGCACATCGCCAGGTGCACGTCTTCCTGGAGCATGGTGGGATCTTGGCATATCTCCGCTGGTTTGAAGCGGAGGCGCGTCTTTGCGGCAAGCCCGCCGGCCATAGAGAGGTGGCCCCAAGGGAGTTTGATGTCAGTGCACTCTAGCTGGAAGCCGGAGAGAGGAGCAGAAGAGAAGAAGAAGAAGAAGGAGAAGGAGAAGAAAAAGAAGAAGGGAGACGGAGGCAGAGCCCTGAAACGGAAGCAGCTTGTGTAGCAAGTGCTTGCCGTAACAACCTATTGACCGGATACCAAATTTGTACCGACCCCAGCAAAGTAGCGCCAGGTACTATGTATGAGCCCCCGGCTTGACAGCAGACTATTGCATGGAAGGGGGCAAGGTGGAAGCGGAGAGCGGTTGCCCCAAGGGAGGTTGATGCGCACGCTAGGTGGAAGCCGGAGAGAGAAGCAGAAGAGAAAAGAAGAAGTAGAAGAAGAGACGAAGACAGAGCAGTAGATCAGAAGCAGCTTGACTAGCAAGCGCTTACCTATTGACCACATACCAAATGACTAATTACCGGTCGATTAGTTTAGGACCGTGCACGTCCTGTGACTAGTACCGGTACTGTAGACAGTTTTGCTAGCTACTGGCACTACCGGCTTAGTACTTGGGGAAGAAGGAAAGAGCATAGTACTAGGAGTAGGAGTAGGGGCAGTAGTAGGAGTAGCAGGAGTAGTAGGAGCAGAAGGAGTAGTAGGAACAGAAGCAGAGGAGCAGCAGGAGCAGCAGGAGCACAGTAGCAGTAGCAGCAGCAGCAGGAGCAGGAGCAGGAGTAGCAGTAGCAATGCGGTTGCAGTAGCAGTAGCAGCAGCAGGAGCAGCAGCAGCAGCAGCAGCAGCAGTAGTAGTAGTAGTAGGAGTAGTAGCAGTATAAGTAGCAGTATAAGTAGCAGTATAAGCAGCAGTATAAGTATAAGTATAAGTAGCAGTAGTGGTAGTGGTGGTGGTGGTGGTGGTGGTCGTGGTCGTGATCGTGGTAGTGGTAGTCAGTAGTAGTAGTAGTAGTAGTAGCAGTACTACCAGTAGTAGTAGTAGTAGTAGTAGTAGTAGTAGTAGTAGTAGTAGTACTAGTAGTAGTACTAGTAGTAGTACTAGTAGTAGTACTAGTAGTAGTACTAGTAGTAGTACTAGTAGTAGTAGTAGTAGTAGGAGTAGTAGTAGTAGGAGTAGTAGTAGTAGTAGTGGTAGTAGTAGTAATAGTAGTAGGAGGATTGGTACTAGTGGTGATGGTTGTGGTGGTCGTGGTGGGCGTCGTAGTAGTAGTAGTAGTACTAGTAGTAGTAGTAGTAGTAGTAGTAGTAGTAGTAGTAGTAGTAGTAGTAGTAGTAGTGGTAAGTAGTGGTAAGTAGTGGTAGTGGTAGTGGTAGTGGTAGTAGTAGCAGTGAGAGTAGGAGTCGGAGTAGGAGTCGGAGTAGTAGTAGTAGTAGCAGTGGTAGTGGTAGTGGTAGTGGTAGTGGTAGTGGTAGGAGTAGTGGTAGTAGTAGTAGTAGTAGTAATAGTAGTAGTAGTAGTGGTAAGTAGTGGTAGTGGTAGTGGTAGTGGTAGTAGTAGCAGTGAGAGTAGGAGTAGGAGTCGGAGTAGGAGTAGGTGTAGCAGCAGTAGCCGTGGTAGTAGCATCAGGACAAGGAGTAGGAGTAGGAGTAGGTAGTAGAAGGAGTAGCAGTAGTAGTAGCAGTAGTACCAGTAGTAACTTCTAGCAGTAGAAGTAAGCGTAGGTAGTAGCAGTACAAGTAGTAGTAGTAGTAGTAGTAGTAGTAGCAGTGGTAGTGGTAGTGGTAGTGGTAGTGGTAGGAGTAGTGGTAGTAGTAGTAGTAGTAGTACTAGTACTAGTACTAGTAGTAGTAGTAGTAGTAGTAGTAGTAGTAGTAGTAGTAGTAGTAGTAGTAGTAGTAGTAGTAATAGTAGTAGTAGTAGTAGGGGGTGAGTAGGAGTAGTAGGAGTAGCAGGAGTAGTAGGAGTAGTACTCGGAGAGAGTGAGAAGATTGGGGAGAGTGGGGAGAGTGGGGCGAGTGGGGGAGAGGGGGGAGTGGGTGAATCAGACGAAGCAAAAACCGAAGCAAGAGAACAAAGGATCAAGTACAAACCAAGAACAGAAACAAGAACAACACTTTCCAATCAGACACGCCGGCGGGCCTGCGGATTTTTAATATGAATAACATGAACCATCGAATAATTGGGTTAATGAATTTTAACCCATACCCATACGGAGAATCTATGGAAAATTATGAAAAATATGATACATATCAAAAAGTTGTAGGGAAACCCGGGGGTTTCACCAGCAAACATATATGGAAAACATGTGATACAACTGATCAACAATGTAGATAAGCAAATTAGAGGATTTAACCAGATTCCAGGTTGAAAGTGTCTAAATGTAGATTTTCCTACTATAGTCATTTTTGAATTATATATGTTTACAATCTTAACATGGAAAGAGACACTTATCAACCAACATACTTAAATTTTGCGGTTGAAACCGGGATGCTATGAAGATTGAATGAACAGAGACGTTTTTTAAAAATAGGGTGTAAAACGCTATAAAGAGTTATAAAACGTTTCTAGTTTCAAAACAATCGGCGTACAATATTTTTGAAATATACAGTGTCCATGTTTATTTATATGTATACATGCACACGTATATATATATATATATTGTATTTAAAAAAATGCGACCTCACTTGCTGTCAAGCTCTTGATATTATTGGTACCGAATATCAACAGGAAACCCTTGACCACCCATGTGACAATGTGTATCCGATGTAGCCATTTGTATCCATTTGTTTGATTATTTCTCATCTATCACCAATCCAATGTTTCTTCCCACACGCTGGGCCTGGTTGGTTTCAAATAGATTGAACTTGAACGTTCACCATTTCCCGCATGTTTGATCCACTTCAGCAATAGTTTCCTTTATATCCCTACTGTACTTCAAGGTGCATCCCAGTTGTGCGCGCTTCATAGCCACAGAAAAATTACTCTACTTCGTGTGATCCCCACCATGACATGTCAGGACGTATATTTGGACATATATTTAGTATATTCTGACATCCTATCTGACATATATTCTGGCATATATTCTGGCATTCTATCTGGCATATATCCTGACATTCCACCTGGCATTCTATCTGGCAGTCTATCTGGCATTCTATCTGACATATTTTCTGACATTTCATCTGACATATATTCTGGCATCCTACCTGTCATTTATTCTGACATATATTCTGGCATTCTATCTGACATATATTCTGGCATATATTCTGGCATTCTATCTGGCATTATATCTGACATATATTTTGGCATTCTATCTGACATATATTCTGGCATATATGTTGGCATTCTATCTGGCATATATCTGACATTCTATCTGACATTCTATCTGGCAGTCTATCTGGCATTCTATCTGGCATTCTTTCTGGCATTCTTTCTGGCATTCTATCTGGCATTCTATCTGGCATCCTATCTGACATTATATCTGGCATTCTATCTGGCATTCTTTCTGGCATTCTTTCTGGCATTCTATCTGGCATTCTATCTGGCATCCTATCTGACATTCTATCTGGCATTCTATCTGGCATCCTATCTGACATTCTATCTGGCATTCTATCTGGCAGTCTATCTGACATTCCTACATGAGGTCCGGCAGGGAACACTTGGCATGGATACTCGCGGTTGAGGTCCGGCAGGGAACACTTGGCGCGGATGGTCGTGGTTGAGGTCCGGCAGGGAACACTGGGCGTGTATGGTCGTGGTTGAGGTCCGGCAGGGAACACTGGGCGTGGATGGTCGTGGTTGAGGTCCGGCAGGGAACACTGGGCGTGTATGGTCGTGGTTGAGGTCCGGCAGGGAACACTGGGCGTGGATGGTCGTGGTTGAGGTCCGACAGCGAACACTGTGGATCGCGAGTCGCAGTTGAGCAGGAGGACGAGGAGGACAACGAGAGGAGGAGGAGGAGAGGAGGACGAGGCAGGAGGAGGCGGAGGAGGAGAAGGAGGAGGAGAAGGAGGAGAAGGAGGAGGAGGAGGAGGCAACTGACATAAAATCTAACAACCCTCACCTGGCAGGTGGGGAAAAAAGAAACATGTTATATGTGGAAGTATCCTCATTTCATGTCACTGATACATATACAAAGGTGATACAGACTATAATGGACTTATGATTTTAGATACTACTTACGAAACTAAAAACCAATTACAAAGCTATAGATAACTTTACCAGTTGGGTCATATATATATATATTGGATATAAACCTACGCCTGCAGGACAGCCGCGAGCGGCGCCATTGTCGCGCGCGCTGGGTTCACCCAGTCGTGACCGGCCAACCAGGGGTAACCCATGGTGGATAATTGTAGTCCTGCAACTTCTTGGGAGTCTGACGTTTGATGATCTGGACGAACCAGGCGCTTCAAAAAATCAGAGGAAAGCCGACTGATGGTTTTTATGTTTTGAAGGATAAACTGAAACTGAGGAGCATGCCTCTGTGGGCTAAAGCTGTGAACCATTAATTGAAGGGTTCCTGAAGTCGCCGATGTCATTTTGATGGGATATCTAGTAACCAGTTAAAGCAAATACTGTACGTGTGAAGAGTACCTAAGATTGGGCCAAGATATTGCACAGTGGTTATTCAAACCTGCTTTACGGAAGGATCTTGAAATCGGATTCAAGTGGCCCATATAATTTCTATGGTGTTTTGGGATTCCTCAATTAGACACATAATTCGGATGTAGAGATTGATTTTCAGTTTTATTTATATATTATTCTTCTGTCCTGGCAGTCCATGGCCTATCCCGAAGGTTACTCTTCGAACTAAGGGTCTAATTAACGAAAACACATGCAAGAATGGTCATGAGTGATGATGATCAATCCCCGCAAAAATGTAAACCTCAATACAAGGGACTGAACCATGGTTTCAATTCGGGGGCATTTCGTATTCACGGGAAGGATTGTTAATATATATATAATATGTATGTGCTTGATTAGATATACTATATGTATAGCTAAATAAGTTGTTATAATCGTGATATATTATGATTATATAATTACATATGCGTATGTAAAAGATAATATGTATATATGCATATATATATATATATACATACTTATTTATGATACTATGTATGCATATTTAAATGTGATTATATGTATTTATATATATATGATTATATGCATATACACGTGTATATATATATGGATATGTGTTTATATGTATATCTAGTGTTTCGACTACATATGTATAGTTATGTGATTATTGTTTTTTGAAATATATATATATATTCAGATTTTGTATAATATATGCATTAATGATAATATTTGTATCTATGACTATATATGTACATATGTGTACATATTTAATTACGGCAAATGCCTGGGCTTTGCCCCGAACCGCAACGACGACGGGCAACGCATCAGGATTATCATCATCATCAACATCATCATCAACATCATCATCATCAACATCATCATCAACCTTTGTTGATCTTCCCAATTCAATGTAGAGTTTAACGGGGGTGGTATTTTCATATTCTCTAATGCCTTTGTTGATCTTCCCAATTGAATGTAAAGCATGTAAAGCTTGACGGGGGGTGACTTTAATATTCCCTAATACCTTTGTTGATCTTCCCAATGGATGCAGAGTTTAACGGGGTCGGATTCAAATAGTCCCTAATACCTTTGTTGATTTTCCCAGGTGAATGTAAAGTTGCAACAACATTTGATTGGAACTGGGAACCCTCTACGCTGCAACGATGGGGCAAAGCCCAGGCGTTGCGCGTATAATTATGTGTATATATATATAATTGTGTTTATATGTATATGTATGCCTATGTTTTCAAAGTATATATATAGTTGATTATGAATATATGTATTGTATGTATATGTATATACATGAATTTACATATGATTATACATGTCTATATCTATATAACTTTCTGTGCATGTAAAGAGGCTTATTTTTTGTATGTGTATACATGTGTGATTTCATGTGTATTTTCTTGATCACATATATATATATACTATGGTCGACCCTTCGCAAGGGTTTATCTGCACAATTCTGCGGGTAGGCGGTGCCAGCGACCCCAATCCCGGCCGACCTCACGATGGGTGATGGCTTTCAAAGGCTAATGGGAACCATCCCACGACATGTGACATGTTTTTTCATAAGGCGCACCCGTTCGATAGCTAAGTTGGTCTGTACATAATTCCAATACCTGCTGGAGTTATTGTAAATATTTCGATCTAGTTAATGGGATTATAAACCAAATTATATATATATGTGGGAGCACCACATTGCACAATGAGTCCTTCCACTTGCCAACTAATTACAAACCCACGGAAGAGTAGATATCATTGAGCAACAAACTATCGTTTGAGGTCCCCTTCCTGTGAGATATGTTTATATTTCTTTGAAACAAATATATCCTATGATATTACATGATATCCCATCTATATCCCATTTTACCCTGTTATATATATATCATATATCCCATTACATACCATAAGTTTTTACCATATATCCCATTGTCCACTTATAATCCGTTATATAATTATATTCCCAGTCAGTATATACCCACTATATCTCCAGTATATCCCGATCATATCCTTGTTATCCCCATTTGTACATATCTCTATTATATCCTTATCATATCCTTATTTTATATCATTACATACATCCCTTTGTATCCCCATAACCCCCTAAATGATCCCAAATATGCGTAGATCCCCTACACACATCCATTATAGTTTCTGTGAGAGTGTTTAATATGAATGGGGGAAAGAATTATATATCATTACATATATCTCTTTGTATCCCCATTATTGATTTATATTAGACTATAATATATATATTTTTAGATTTGATATTATATCTATATATGTTTTTGTTTTTCCATATTACATATATATATATGCTAGTCTCATGATATCCCCATGATCTCCCCCTGACATCTTTTAACGCAGCGCATGCCCAGGTCTGGCACTGGTCGCGGTGAACTGGCGGAACCAAAGCTATGAACGCTACAGTTTCGGAGCCCTTCGGCATCGTTGCGGGAAGAATTGTTGTGGATCTTTAAGGACGGAAAAATACTGGCTAGTCTCTGGTAATTTGTTACATAGCTATTGAAAATGGCACATAGAAATAGTTGATTTATACCGAACTTAAAGATGGTGATTTTCCATAGCGAACTGTTAGTTTACCAGAGGGTAATGATGGTGAATGGGAAGTCTTGATGAATCTGACATCTTTAATCTTTGGGCTTAAAATTAACTGGTGAAGTGAAGCATCTGAGAAATCTGATCTGGGAATATTTCGAACAGAAACTAAAGATTCAAATCCTAGCGGTGGCTGCGACAAAGCCCCCGTTGGTTGATGATTTACGGGGATTAGACTACACTTTGCATGTTTTGTTTTATTGATCTACATGGAGGTTTCCTCTCATCAGGGTACAGACCCCACATCATCATAAGCCATCTATTTAAAGATGATTTTCCATTATATATAAAGCATCCGCTTTTGGGTACCCCCATGAATTAGGAAACCCGCATGTTGGGGATTATAATAATTATTCTGAAAAACCCTTTCTGAACTGACCATCGTGCAATGGAATGATAGAGCTGTCGGAATTTAGGGTCAGCCAATGGAATTTGCCGGTCACCAAGGGTGTCCAATTGGAGCCACTTAGGGACTTTAGTTGTTTTTCCCGAAACCAATGGAAGCAAATTAGGTTGCGCATTTGTTGGCCGTATATTAATACAAACGATGCAGATTGTTTTAAAAGTGAATGCTATGCAATATTGGCCATGATCGTTTAAAACGACACCTTTAACATCCTGAGAATTGTTGAATACCTCTAGAAAACTCGGTTCAGTATTTTGGCTAATCGTCATGCCTAATCAGTTTTTGGGCCATTTATTGAAGCTATTCAAGATTTGGGAAGGGGTTGACAAAACCATAACATGCCATAACCTATTTTTGGAAGAAATTAAACCATGAAGTATTGCCGAATTCCCCGGTATATATATATCATTATGTGGCCATGGTGGAAAAATGATTTGTTAGGATGGGATTCTTGGATAAGTTGTTTTGTGCTATCGGCTGACTCGCCGCCCCAGAAGGGTTGTTATGATTCGGTCATGGTATGGTGGGGTGGGTTGGGGATAATAACGTTCCTTGGCACTTGCACACCTGCATGATGCTACGTTAGAGATGGGGTGGGGTGGGGTTGGAATAATAATGTCCTGTGGCATGCTACCGTAAAAATATGCTGCTACGCTTGCACATGTTGTTCACGTGCGCGAACATAAATTTGATGTTTCGTTCATGTAGAATATGTTGCTACTCTTGCACATGCTGTTAACGTGTGCGAACACAAGTCTGATGTTACGTTCATAGAATATGTTGGTACGCTTGCACATGTTGTTAACATGCGCGAACATAAGTTTGATGTTACGTTGATAGAATATGCTGTTACGCTTGCACATACCAAAAAAACTTGAACAAATGGAAGCCAATCGCTTTTACCCAAAAAGATAAATCCCATGGAGGAACCAATGAAAATCGTTGGAAGTGGGCGTGAAGCTTCCAGTGGGGGCAAAATGCTTCCATCACAAGTTCCATTTTGGAAGAACTTCCCAAATGCTTGCGGCAGAGTTGAGAAAAGATGCTCCTAAGCCGTTTGGGCATGGGGGGATTTCTTGGATCAACAGGCATCCAACTTTTCCCGGCGGAGTAAACAAATGATCGTTTCGCCTGCACGAAATACCGCTTTATTCATTTTAAATTTACCCACGCAGTACAAAACTATACTCTCTAAATGCCTTCCAAAGATGTAAAATGTAAAAAAAAAAACGCTGGGTTTTCAGCATTTCATCTTGAGAATGAATTTAAAAAAAATGTCAACAGTTGCAGGGCGGCGAGTCAGCCGATTCCCTTGATTTTCCTTGAAGAAGGTCAAATGATATGTATTCCCAAGATCTCCCAGTTGTGCTTGGCTTGGCTTTTGACCCGGAGTTCGAAAACGAGAACTTGGAAATCACGACGGCCACACGGATTGGTGAAATCAGTTGGCAAATCAACAGGTTAAGACATGCGAAAGAAACGGGCGCGACGGAGGCTGGGGCCGTGGGGCACAGCTATTGATGATCCTGAGAGTTTGTAAACGGTATAGAGGAAGTGGGAAGGAACAGGTTGTATTCCAATTTGTAACAAAAAGGTTGTTTACAGCTAATCACCCAAACACTCACCATGTACCAGTTCAGGATCCTCGGTTTTGGTTCGTCCTGTCGCCGAAGTCAAGGTCCCGCCGTCCAAAAGCTGGTGCCTAGCGCTGCCGGACTCTGAGATTTTGCGAAACATGATGGTCATCCATCTGGCATTGAGAATTCAACCATTGGCCATGTTTAATATAGGTAAATCATGGTCAATCATCTTGAAATGGATCATTTTCCGTGGCTATGTTACATTAGCAGAGAGTGCAAGTAGCAAAATGTATGGACACAATGGGGGGGGACAATGCCATTGCTGCGTTGATGATTTTTCGGTCGACCTTGGTAGGTTAGGTCAATGATTTGGTTTATAAGAAACCTTGGTGTGGACATCTCCAAATATAAAGGGGGTCCTGAAGTCCTGTAAAATGTTTCCTTTAACCAGCTCTGGGGTTAGTATGTGTTGTTATTCTATAAATGGGGATCTATACTAATCAGCAAAGAAACACATGCAGTGTATCTAGGATATATTCATCAGGGTCAACCTTAAAGGTGATTTATTCGACAGTGACATGGCTCGTAAAATTAGGGATACCCCAAGAATGTGAATTCTTTATAGGCAACATGATCATAAACTAGCAGATAGTTCACGTTGAAGGGCTTATGTAATCCACATTTAGACTTGCTGTGGATGTTTTAAGGTTTGAAATGTTCAGACAAACCCACATTTAGCCGGAGATGTCCCCTGTATATACACATGGCCTATAACTTATAACTATGGTTGTGACTCTGACAGACCAAGGCACATTCAAGTGCCATGTTTCACTGGTAACCAGACCAAACATGTTGCCAGAATAGACTAGAATAAATAGGATGGTGCTTTATGCAGATTGGGGTCTCATTTTGACATAGTATGGAGAGGAGTTGAAACAGATATAAACAGATAATACATGATAATACATGATAATATATGATAATGCATGATAATACATGATAATACATGATGATACATGATAATACATGATAATACACGATAATACTGTATTTAGGAAAATGAATAACATCCATTTACCAGTCATTTTAACGTTCACCAGGGTACCAGGGCTGGGGAAACCAAGAGGACGTGATCAAACTCCGCGCGACTCCAACGGCCTTAAATATTGACCCTCAAATCTATGCCTCCGAAGATGAAGGACTAGAGTTGCTAACATTATCGAATATATATATATATATTTATTTATTTATTTAAAGAGAGAGAGATATGTATATATATAGTTATAGGTATATAGATGTATATATATATATATACATGACTAAATGACACCCACTATTTTGTTTATTATATCTCAACTTCATTGAAATGATAGTGGTTGAGAATTGCACCCACCAACCTACCAATTTCACCAACTTATCCATTTGTCTGATAAAAGGGTACCCCAAAATCTTTTTTTTTCATGTTTCGATGTTGATAAATTGGGGCAAAGAGACATGTTCACAGACCCCCACATTTCCTGCACCACTGCTAGTTCCCAGTCCATGGTCCAACGTTCCAGATAGTTGCAACGTTCGTTCCATTCTCCAATGATCCTGCTATCCGCGGCTGACCAGAGGTGAAATTGAGATTGAATTTACTTTCTTCAGTAAACCGATTGTATTCCCGAAAAGTAAATGATGAATCGTGTAAATGATCAAGAATCATCCGAAACAATTGTTTGTTTCAGGTGGTCGAATGTTATTATATACTTTGCCCAGTGTTCAAAAAAGGAACCAAATCTTGAAAGTCGAAGTCCCAAAACAGCTACAAGAGCAAGGGAAGATTGCAGACCTTGGGCTGCAGCCAGTTTTCTTGAATAGTTCCCCTGGGCCCGGAATCTCTACCAGAAGCTATCCAAATTATCCAAAGGATATCACAGGATTGTATAGGATTGTCATGTTTTGCCAAAAACATTGCAGCTTTGGGCTATTCCACATTTCTGAACAAACAAATATTCTGCATTTGACATTCCATGCGCTCTCTGTGTTTGCCATCATGTGGCCGTCTGAAGAATCCTCCCTATGTACTTGGTCTCATTCTTGGCAAAGCTTGAGAACTGAATGGATCTTAGATCGATAGTGCTGTCATCTACTTGGCCCCTAGCTATGACTTGCACTTGATTTGCTGTACGGGACACTTTCTGGGCTGTAAGGACTATTCAGAAATTCCTCCCTTTTGGACACTGTTTGGGTGTGAGATCAACTTAGTTGGATTGAGTTAAACATATTCCTATAGAAACATGAGTTGGAATATCCCCATCGCTATCTGTCCTCATTACATTTTTGTGATATGTTCAGGATTCTTCCCCTCATATCCCATCATTAGATTTCATTGATGTATCAATGGATTTGTTAATATGTGTTTCTGCAGGAAAATCTGCAGGAAAGTATAGGTTGTACTATGAATCATAGCTGGGTCAACCGTCGTTAGATACTTAAGTACTGTAACCGTTGACTATCAGTGAAAATGTACTAACAAAGTAAAAGTTATATATATATGTATATATATATATATATATTACATGTATATATATACATATATTATATGTACATATATTATATATACATATATTATAAAAACATATTATTTGTATACATATATTATTTATACATCTATTATTTACATATAATATATATTTATATATTACATATACATATATTATATATACATATATTATTTACATACATATATTATATATACATATATTATATATACATATATTACATATACATATATTATATATACATATATTACATATACATATATTATATATACATATATTATGTATACATATATTATATATACATTTATTATATATACATTTATTACATATACATATATTATATATACATATTATGTATACATATATTTTATATACATATATTATTTACATATAATATATATATATATATTTATTTATTTATTATATACATATATTATTTTGCGAATAGAGTGTAGGCTACGGACCACTGTACACTCCCACATAATTCAGCCCTCAAGGATCCACCGCCAAGGGGTGCGTCAACTTGCCCCTTTGGCTCAAGACCACTGCAGGAACCGGAAGAAAGTATCGCCATGCTGAAGCCGCGACTTCTGTGCCGTCATCACTGAAACACCCACTTCAAGATCAAGTACCAGTACATAATCGGGGAGACAACCTCCGATTCACAGGTTATCAGCCGTAGGACTCCTACGGAGCCTACGAGCGGGTAGCCGCAGGCCTTACAGATGACTGAACAGGATAGCAGCGATAACGCATTTTCTTTCTCTGGACATGCCGTTGCACCAGCTGCCGGCACGCAGTCAAATTCTTCACAGAGTATCGACACTGGTGGAAGCGATGCCTCAGAACTGAGAACAAGCCTACCCAGGCGACCTCTGGTTGCTCCTAGAGGGAGACAAATTTCGACAATGCAAGCAATTGAAGATAGGGACAGCACACCTGGAAAGAGAAGATCATCTGCACGACAATTGTCGCCTCCGATGACTCCAAGGACTAAGGCAAAGACTACGTCGTCGAATCCGCCTTCGCCGATTCAGGACGCTACTCCATCAGGGACAGGATCTTATCAGCAAGTGAACGCCCCGTCGAGTGGTAGCGACATCTTCACTGCCTATCAGAGTGAACTAGCTGAATACAAGACATCACTGGAAAGGGCTACCGAAGAAGAATCCGTACTTCAGGCAAGATTGGCCGAGACGACAGCATATGCCTATCAACAATTTAATTTCCTGGAAAGCACCACTCATCAAGAGATGATGTCGATGACCGAACAACTCCAGATGCTGAACTTCGAGTTACAGGCTGCACAACAAGAAGATGAAGGTGCGACCTACAGAATCGAAGAGTTGGAAAGGTATCGGACTATGTCGAATGAAGCTGCATCTCATTTGGAATTCAAATATTCACGACTACGTTCGGAATTCGATGAACAAATGGGACAAGCAAACGCTATTATGGTGCATGTGGGCGCTGACGCGAATGCTCACATCAATCAACTCAGACTGGAATTAGAGAACGCAGAGATGAATGCAAAGCAAGAAGCTCTGGCGGTCGGCTACGCTAACGACCAAACATGTGCTTTACAAATCGAGATGCTCGAGGTTGCCAATCAGAACCAGACGATGAAGCACACCATGGCCATGAATGTTAGACGACTGGAAACTGAGCTCGACGCTGCTGACATGAAGAGGGACGAGATCATGAAGGAGTTCCGTAGTAACATAAGATCTGAACATGACCGTTATGCAGAATGTGAACATCATTTGTCTTTGGAAGAATCACAACTTCGATTGCAGGTGATTCACAATGAGAACTTACAATCTCGACTAGCGACTTCTGAGAACAAGATTTCTGAAGAATCTCTAGCTGAATCAAGTGGCATGCGGGACATGAGGATAATGGGACTACGTTCTGAACTACACATGAAACAAAGTCTTTTAGATCGAATGCAACAACAGCTGACTGAATCGAAGAACCAATATCATGAACTTTCCTGTCAACAAGCCAGAAGATCTTCACCAAGCAGATCACCGCATGGAGGACCACTATACGAGATGTATATGCAAGCCGTGCGTGAGCGTGACAACCTGAAGGAATCCAAGGCTGAAGTTGACAAGTTGTACTTGCAAAACAGAACTGAACTCATTGACGCTGAGAACCTGCTCAAAACTTTCCAGCAAAATTTCGATGAAACTGGTAAGAAATATCAAGATGCTCTGAACAAGATCGATCACATGAGTAGCAATCCGAATGTGACGAGTAACTTGTTCGACAGTTTGCACAATGAAATCAATGACAGGGACACAGCTATTGCTCGCCTTCATACTGAACTTGAAGCCCAAAAGGACTCTCTTGGGCGTGCTCACAGGGATGCAGGTAAGTCCATCAAGATGTTGAACGACAGAAGACTCGTGATCAAAGGTGCGACTGACTATTCCATTCCTGAAAGCCACTTGACCGAGATGCATCAATTGGCCAATGAGCGTTTCGCTGAGGTAGAAGAGATGTCGAGCACCATTGCTGCCCTGAAATTGGAAAACCAAGCTCACTCTTCTTCATCAATGAATAGACCGACTACATTACATGGGTACCCCAGTAACGCTATGCCTCGGAATGAATGTGAAGAGAAGTGTGCCAAACTGAAAGCAGAGTTGGACGAGATGAAGCAAGAGAGGAACGCTGAAGTTCGAAATCTTCAAGATGAATTGAAGAAGATGGAAGATCGAAAAGATTATTACAAGAACAATTTCTCTCAAGCTGAAGACCGTGCCAATGATGAAGAGCAGGAATACCGAGCAGAAGCTGAAGCCTTCGAGAAGCTCAGGAACGAGTACAACACCAATGTCAAGGAGTTGGAGAACCTTGAAAGGGATAGATCCAAGTCATCCGTATCTCTAAGAGAAGCCGAAAAGATCAGCCTCCAACCCTGGCCTAAGACTACTGAACTTTCATCCTGGAAGGGAAGTGTCGTTCATGAAGTTTGTGTTGCAAGTGGAGATCGAAACTATGAAGATTGGAAAGCGTGGCTAGCTCCGTGTCTTGCAGATCAACCTGACTTGGAAGCTCTGGCCAAAGCACCCGATGTAAGATTCCAATCCATTGATGCCAAGCTCTCCAATGCCTTGAGGAAAGTCATTGACAATGCTGGTGACAAGTCCATGCAAGTGAAGTATGATATGTCCATGAAGAACCAATTGTATGGGAGAAGTGGGGACTTCATCAAGGGACGAGAACTATTCGCAATGATATTGATTATCAAGTCACCTGATCACACTGAAGTTCTCTACAACGCCCATCATTTGTATATGTTCAACTACTATGGAGATGACCAACTTGAGGCCTTCTACAACAAGTGGCTTGACATCGTATACAACATGAAACATGATGATCTGCCTTCTAACAATTCCCTGCGTGACACGTTGTTCCGGAAGATTGAACATTCAAAACTTATGGCCTTTGATATCAACCGATACAAAACCTTTGATGAAGGGCATCCTGAGAAGACCTATGCTTACCTAACTGGTATGATCAAAGGATACATAGCACGAGGAAAGCAAGAACGACTGTTGAAAGATAGAGAACTGAAACTGTCATTGTCCTCTAACAAGACGACACCTGCCCTGGAAGATGCTGACAAACCTGCCGCTCCCATCAAGACCAAGAAAGAGAATGAAGCAGCTGCATCGTCTACAGGTGATCCTCCCAAACGACCTAAGGCGAAAGCGAAGAGTGAAGCTGCATCAGTACTTCCAACACCTTCTCCGAAATCTCATGCCGACAAGAACAACAAGAAAGGCAAAGGTGGGAAGGGAAGATCATCTTCACCCGTCGACAAGAAGAAGATTTTCTGCAACTACTTCTTCAATAAAGGAGGATGTAACAAAGGTGACAAATGTCTCTACAGTCATTCTCAGAAGGTTTTTGATGCCAAGATGAAAGGTAAGAAAGGCAGAAGCGGAAGTCGAGATTCATCAAGGGGGAAAAGTAGAGGAAGTTCATCTTCAGCTGGACCCAAAAAGAAGATATGTTGGAATTGGCAAAAGGGTACCTGCACGTTCGGAAGCAAATGTAAATTCCTACATGCAGATCAATCGCCTTCAGCATCTTCAGAGAGAACCAGCAAGAAGACTCCAAAGAAGAAAGCAACTCCCATTACCATTGACTCCTTCTTTGATAGCGACAATGAAGATTCTTTGGATTATACCTCACCGAGGATAGCCAGTGCAAAGAAGTCTTCTGATGATCGCAGGATCTCTTTTGAACTGGAACCTGAAGTGCACGAGATTGCCATTGAGAACTACCAGGAGGGACTACCCAAGCGTATGTATCGTGACCCCAACAAGCAATATGTCTTCTGGAAAGTCGATGATTTGACCGACGATCAGTCCAAGTCCGACAACACCCTCGGATCAGTCCGAGCACGGGCCAAAGCTATCATCATGGACAGATGTGGACTCCATCGTTTTGTTGATGAAGTTAGAATCATCATTGGCCCCAAGTTCGACATGTTGATCAAGCTGGACGACGATCGTGATGACTTGACTTTTATTGAAGAACTTGTTGAGCACGAAGTTGGAAAATCCCTCATGAAGTCCAAGAACATGATGTGCATTTCATTACCAGTACAAGCCAAAGATCGCAGATTCATCCTGGATTCTGGCAGCGGACACGATTTGATTTCTGCGAGGAAAGCCGAGAGGATGAACTTGAAGCAACGAACTTGTGATCCTATCATGTTCCACACCGCCAACGGTTCAACTGCTACTCAGACGGAAGCGGAGATTGACCTGGGAACCTTTGATGTGACCTCTCATGCTTATGTACTGGACGACACTCCGTCTGTGATGTCTCTTGGGAAACGATGCATGGAAGAAGGATACTCCTTTGTATGGCCATCTGGTCAAATGCCTTTCATGATTACGAAGAATGGAGAACGCATCGATTTGACAATCCATGACAACATCCCCTACGTTGATCTTGGAATATACGAATGCACTCCTCATGAATGTCATCATGCATCGAAGATCCATGACCTATTGACACATTCTCAAGTCGGATTCAATGACTTCAAAGACATTGATGATGTTGGTCAACCCTCACGAAGAGTACATCTCGATGGAGAAAGTGGTCTTGAGACATCGATTGAGGACCACAATTGTTCCCGATACGTCAAGAAGCTCAAGGTGAAGAAGAAGAGAAGAGCAATGAACCGGCAAAAACATTCGGCAACTCCTGGAGAAGAAGAAGAAGAACCACCTGAAGGCGACGAATATGAACCCGGAACTCCGTTTGGCGGACCTCCTGGGGACGAGACTGACTTTGAAGATGATGGTCATGGTGCTCCTGAAGACGCCGCTGAAGGTGATGAAGATGACATTGAGATCGATGTTGTCGAGGGTGAGTCCAGGGTAGCCAAAAGAGGAACACTCAAGAGAAAAGCTAACAGCCTGAATCACAAGTTGACCCACAGATATAAGAATCCATATTGCGACTCATGCATTCGAGCAAAGATGAAGCACTTCAAGACTCGTCGTGGGGCATACAAGAGGGAACTCAAGAAGTTTGGCGACCTCATTACCTTTGATGCGGTGGACACATCCAAAGTCCATGATGACGTGTTGGTCCTCGAGAAGGAAGTGTTGGTTGTCAGAGACTGTTTTACAGGAATCAATGGTGCTTATCCATCTGATAGAATGACCAAAGACGATGTAGTTAGGGCAGTGAAACAGTTCATCGGCGCCAAGAAGGTCAGACAGGCCTACTCTGATCATGCTCCTCAATTCATTGAAGCCATGAATGAGATGAAGATTCCAATTGATCATTCGTTACCTGGAAGACCTCAAACCAATTCAATTGCCGAAAGGACGAACCAATTTATCCTCACAGCTACTTCTACATGTCTTTTGGAAGCTGGATTACCACCTTGTTTCTGGAGAACAGCAATCCTTTGTGTATGTCATCTACTCAACGTAGAACCCAACGATGATGAATTGAGCGCTTGGTGCAAACTCCATGGATCTGAATTTGCTGGCAAACTCATTCCCTATGGTGCTCGTGTGAACTACAAGCCTCCGAAAACCAGAGAAGCAGGGCAACTTCATAAGTTCGGGCCTGACTCTATTCCTGGAGTGTTTGCAGGGTATCACATTGGTCCAGGGATGCATTGGTCAAGACAATACAAAGTATGGCCTCTGAGTGAATTCGTACATCAGAATCTTGGTGACGACGCTAGCAAACCCGAACACCGTCTTCTCAAACCTCATTTGACTGAAAAGGTCGAGATGGTCACTCCATTGACATTTCCATGCAAGCAAGAGTATGAGAGGGTGAACACCACGTTGGAAGGAATGAAAGAAAGAGAAATCCTCGATGGTGATCCCTCCAAAGTGCCTCATGGAGATGACGAAGAACATGACCACGATGAGCTTGATGACGGAGACGACGGTGGACCTGGACCAAGTGGTGGAAAAGTTTCAAAGAAGCCTCTTGATGACTCCGAGGATATCTTCGACAAAGACAAAGATCCAGAAGAGATGACCCTACAGGAACTGATCGACGCCCAACCAGACCATTGGAAGAAGGGCAAAGCTGGAGATGGGAAGATATACCTCAACGACGATGGTGAGAAGGTCAAGTTGAATGTCAAGGGTTACCCATACAAGATTGGAGATGACGGTAGACGAATGTTCAGAACGTCATTGCGTCCCAAAGGGACCTATTCTCCTGAAGAATGGCGCAAACTTTCTCAATCTGACCGGAACACCATCCTCAAAGCCGAGAAGAAGAAGTTGGAGAAGAAAGAGGCCGATGACAAAGCCAAAAGATTGGTCGAAGAAAAGAAGAAGAAGGCAACGAAGAAGGAGAAGAAAGATTCAAAGAAAGACAAGGACAAGCCGAAGTCCAAGGATGATGAAGGTGGTGATGAAAGCAAGAAGGATGACTCTCATTCAAAGTCAAAGAAATCCGATGCAGGTGTTGGTGAAGTTGTGAAGAACAAAGTTACCTTACCTATCACATGTACAAGTACGTATCTTGATCTGTACGACATAGTCGATGATGACGATGTACATGGAAGACGATACATTGATTGTCGAAAAGTGAAGAGGAATGCTGATGCTAGTCCATGTTCCGATGCTTCTACTGATGTCCCGGACGACGAGGAATATCTCACTGAATGGGATGAATGGTCGGAGGTCGAGAAAGGACGTGGCCCAAAAGCATCGTGGAGTGGTGAAGTTTGGAGCACATTGTCAGGTGAGATTTCAAGATTCTCCGTGGCTACGCCAGGTGAGTCGACAATGATCAAAAATGGCAAATGTGTTAACGTCAAGAACGTGAAGAACGTAGCCACTGGTGATGATGAGTACATTCCATTCCCAACTATGCCGTGTACTTCTGCATCAAATCAAAGTCACCGAACCAAGATACCATCAGGAGGCCTTGGGAGCAAACTTTTCAACGCAATGGTTTCACGACCTGTGGGCAGAGCTGAGATTGAGTCTAACCCAAAGGCCAAAGAGGCAATGCTCAAGGAGTGGAAAGGCCTTCGTGATCAAGAGGTATTCGACTTTACAATGGTTCGTGAATATGACGATGTTGTTGCAGAGGCCAAGAAGAACAAAAAGGAAGTACATATGGCCAGGGTCCATGGCATATGCGTGGAAAAGAATTACCAGTTGTCCGAAGACAATCCTGGTCGAAAATTCAAGGGAAGAGGCGTTCTGCTAGGAAATCAGGTGAAGAATCAGCATTGGGAGGCAGCATTCTTCCAAGACTTGGGAAATTCCCCTGCTTCCTTCGAAGCCTCACGATGGGCAGATTTTTACGGATGTCTTCCTGGGCACTCCGTCAAGTTGGCAGATGCGATTCAGGCTTACATCCAGGCGAAGTTGAAGGGACCTTTGTGTTGGGTGGAGTTACCCACTGATGCATGGCCTCCGGAGATACAGTATTGGAAGTTCCGTCGCCCTGTCGTAAGACTCGACAAAGCCCTGTATGGACACCCTGATTCAGGCACGATGTGGGAACAACATTGTGACAAGAAAGTTCAAGAAATTGGTTTTAAGCCCATTGGAGAGGAATGGCCTTCTATGTATTTTCATGATGAGCTCAAATTGCTGTTGGTAATCTATGTGGATGACCTTAAGCTTGCTGGGCCCTCCGAAAATCTGGCCAAAGGTTGGGAAATGCTGCGCACTGTTCTGCGCATTGAACCCGAAACCGACTTGGGACTTTACTTAGGATGTGTTTTATCCCAAGGTGAGACCCAATTGCATAATGGTAAGAAAGTCAAGACCATAACTTATAACATGGAAGGATTGTTAAAGTTATCGGTGGAAAAGTATCTTGACATCATTGGTAAGGACACAAAATTGAAAAAGGTATCAACTCCAAGCCTTCCAGAGGAAACGAAAAGCAGCCCGTATCGAGCTCCTTCCGATGGAAAACGCAAAGTTGAGTGTCCTTGGTGTGCACATTCCTTCGATCCAGATATGCCTGCTCTCTCCGAGACTGGCAACTCATGTCCTGGCCAAGACAGTGAGACGCTGAGCCGAGGGAATCTAGCTCCGCATGCAGCTAGTGTGCTTATGAAGCTGCTGTATGCAGCCCGCATTGCGCGGTTTGACCTGTTGAGATCCATCAATGCATTGGCACGTAATGTGACCAAATGGACAAAGGATGATGACGCCCGTCTTCATCACTTAATGTGTTATGTTAATTCCACATTGTCCCTCAAAATGATAGGATGGGTCGGAGACAAAATTGAAGATTTATCATTAGGACTATTTGCAGATGCGGATTTCGCTGGATGTGCCCAATCCTTGAGATCAACTTCAGGATCGCACTTACAAGTCCAAGGTAAGTTCACAAGATTCCCACTTGCTGGTGGAAGTAAGCGACAAGGGTGTGTTAGTCATTCTACCCCCGAAGCTGAAATTGTGGCTGCAGATACTGCACTTAGGACTCTAGGAATCCCCGCACTAAGTCTGTGGAAAGTCTTAGCCAAAGTTTTTCCTCAACTCCTGTTTCATGACGATAATCAAGGTATGATTGGTGTTGTCAGATCAGGACGGAATCCAACCATGCGTCATTTGGAGCGCACACATGGTATTTCCATCGCCTCCATGCATGAACATTTCCAAAAGGATCATTTTGTATTGATCTATGAAATTACAGCCAAAATGGCAGCCGATATCCATACTAAAGGGTTCAAGAATCCCATGGCATGGAAGAAAGCTTGTATGCTAATCAACTTGTTGGAACCTCAGGACTTGCAGAGCAAAGAAGTATTAGACATGTTGCAGCCAAGCACCGATGTCGATATGACTACTCGCCAAGTTTTCCAATCCAAAACTGAGGACATCCCAAACTTCCCATACACGGAAACCCCTATTTTGCCGAAAGAAGTGTATAGGAAGGGTTTGACTAGTAAAGAGAAGCTACAATACTTGCCAGGTATGGATCCCATTTTTGTCGTCAAGCAACCGGTGTTTTATCGTCCTAAGCCACCCGGCTTGATCGTGCCGCCAGATGTATTGAGATCCACATGGGTTCTTCTCAATGGTGCCTGGACAAAGGTCGAACACCGTGCATCTCCACCAGAGCAGGCTATCAGATTTGATAAGTGGGTTGAACGAGCGTGTTTTCAGTACCATTCGCCCAACAAGCAGCCGTTGATCCCGGACACTGTTTCACAATCCGTTTCAACGACCTCAACCCACCGGGTGATGTCGTCAAAGCACGTGCATGCCCCGCCTGCCCACTCGAGCTCACTACGTGACTCGTGTGCGTCAACACCACATGACCGTGTACAGCATCTGACCGATTCACCAATGCTGATGTTCTCGGTTGATGCCTTGTTTTTAGATGCACAGACATCACCGTCTCAACACCCGAAATCCATTCACCAGTGCCTTCAGCCAGCCACACGTGTGATCAATACGCTTATGCGCCTTGTTCATGGGGGGAGTGAGGGTGAAGGATGGCATTCGCACAGTGAAAAGGGGCACCCACAGTCCACTTCAACACCTGGCCTATGTCATATGCATCCGGAATTGGACATCAATGATAACATTCCGTTTGTAAAATCCACCCGAAAATCCCAAGTGTTAGGTAAGAAAAATGAAGACCATTGGCAGTGGGATGGGAAAGAGACATTGATCCGAATTCACAAAACGCCAAGAAGGCAAAACTTTGTACCACAGGATTGCGAAGACTGTCCTTGTGACCCTAGGATCATATGTGATGAGAGGGAAACTGAACAAAAGTTCAAAACTAATACTCGAGTGATCAAAGACATATGGAGATTCAAGGGCGACAATCATGAATCAACAAACAAGTTGAATGAATTTTGGACTGGAAAATCGACATTTAAGGTGCTCGCCAATGCTGAAGTGATCGATGGAGGTAAGAACTGTAAAGTGAGTCAGGGAGTAATCACGCTATGCACCAATTGCAATGACGTGAAAACTATTCCCATCACTGATGTTTTTGTCCCCTATCAATATCACATTGAAGTAGGCAAACATGAGGTTGACCATCCCAAAGTGTCGGTAATCCTTTGGAGAGAAAAGAAAAACAGAACTTTGGAATTTCAATTTTCCAAATCACCTTGTGACATGATGACATCAAAGTATGCGAAGTTTTCCCTTGCAATCAATTTGATCGAAGTTCCTCAAGCAGTCCCATGCTTCGTCTTGTTATGTTCGGAAGAGAGAAACTGGTTTACGTTCTTGCAGAACAAAATGAAGGACGAAATGAAGTTTCATGTCGTACCAATCACTGAAGATGACGACATGCTCTCTCCGTACGGAATCAGTAAAGCAAGGCGATGCCTTCGGACCAAACTTGATTCAATGTTCTTTGCAGGTCCATGTACAGGAGGTTCACCATGGAACCGAATCAACCGATGGGTAAGCGAAGCAACGACACAACTCATCGAAGCAAAGAAGCAGATCTTCTGGGCGATGTGGGAAGTGTTTGCATCAGTGCTAAGTGAACTTATCAATATGGGATCACCAGCCTTGCTTGAGTTGCCTAGAGGTTGTGACTACTGGAAGGACCGTAGAATGACTGATCTTGTGGAAGGAACCGTATCTCATGAACACAAATTTGATGGATGCATGTATGGCTTGAAATCGCAGTTCCAAGAGACTCCCAAACCAATCAAGAAACCTTGGAAGATTGTCGCATGGGGGGTGTCTTTCCCAAAGCTTCATAGAAGATGTGATCGCCGTCATGACCATGCTGAGTGTGCCGGTAGGGAAACTCGCATTACTCAAGTTTACACTAAATGGATAGCCAAGATAATCATGAATGGAATCAATGATCATGTAATCAGGAATAGTCCATTTGTGAACGTCAGAGTGATGAAACGTTGGAAGCCGCTTGCATGTGATGAACAACTGAAAGCTGAAATGTCTCGTGATTCCGAGAATATCCGCAGTCACCCAATCAAGTCGGTGGCAACATCCGTATGTGCTACTCGAGAGCTCGACGCCATTGACCTTTCGTTCGAGCGATCGCTACTGCACTGGTGCTTTTCGAGATTGACATCAACTTCGGTTCTTTCTTCGTGGCACTTTTCATTTTCGTGTCGACCGCTTTCTGAATTCGACTCCGATTGGTTGTTACGAGACCTACGGTTCGTACAACTATTTCCGCTGCTCGAGCTGTTGTCACGAGACCTACGGTCCGTGCAACTTTCTTCTGTACAAAGCGGGATGGCCGAAACCCATGATCTGAACTCAGTAGGGCAATTCGCCGGAAGCCGAATCACCGTTGCATTACGAGTGCTGAAGGGATTGTCTGAAGGAACCATTGCAGCCAAGACTCCATCACCATTCCGAGACACCCGAGGTTCGAATTTTCGACTGATCTCAGATGAGGACACAGCCAACCAATGGATTAGGTTTGGTATGCCGCCTGCAGTTGTCTACTCAGCATACTTCGCGAACTCCAGACACACCAGTGAAGCCACTGCACAAGCTCTGGAGGTAGCCTACAAGTTGTTGCAGAGAGCGCAGGACATCGAGAAGGGGTGTTCAGGATGGGAGTTTTTGTCAAAAGGGTCGAGATTCGTGAAGGTCTTTGCTAGCAGATGCCCATATGATGATGCAACTGTGGGACGCTTCATGGACAAAGAGATCTACGACAGACTTGATGAGCTCTGGATCGTATTGTCCAAAGGACACTTTCCCGAACCTTTTGATGATCAAGCCACTGCTGCAGAAACTGAGGCGAAGATCCGAAGCATGAAACAAATCTATCGAGGAACACCGTCATTCAACACAGATCCGAGTGCAACATCATGGTTAGCTGTGACAAGGACCGCCGAATACTTCAAAGTCATGGACGAGTTGACCAAGGTGAATCCGAAGTCTCCATCTGACAATGATAGCTATTTGACGGCAATGAAACACATGATTGAGATCCAGATGAGGCACCTAGGACATGCATTGAGGTATCACAACGAGCAGAACCCATCGGATCAGATCATCTTGCAGGATGTGATGAAAGATGTGGTTGCTTTTGAAACCAACCAACCGAAGGGAAGGAGCGCAGCCCAGAACCATTTCTTATGTTTGTTGGCCCTCGGCACGACACTTGAAAGACACAAGACCAGCGCTCGAGGAGATGGAAACTTGCCGAGAGTGGCAGAGCTGTCCGAGATTCAGTTCTCGATCCTCAAAGTCTTTGACATTCCTCAGGGAATCCTGATTGGGCATGGATACAACGTCTCGATTGCCGATGAAGGAGCCAGATATACTGAGAAGGAAAGACGTCATGCCTGCCACAGCTCTCTCAAAGATTTCACCACCGTGATGACCGAGACTCAAGCTGGTACAGCCGGAGGCATGCACAATTTCGACAACTGGGATGTTCCCCTGGTCTTCAATGACGGACGACGACCCTACGAAGTTGACTTCTGGAACAATGAGGAGCCTTCATGGGTGAATGATGACACATCCACTGGACCTAGCGCCCAGAGTACATCCGCTCCTACGGAGGGATCACAACCAAAGGCATCGCAACAATCACAAAGTTCGAACATCCAGCCGAAGAAGATGCCAAGATCATCGACTGGCGGAGGCTCGTCTTCGTCGACCCATGCAGCTTTCCGATCTGGACCTGGAGCGACATCTCAAGGTCGTACTGAACCAGAAAGAGATGAAAACTGGATTCCGACTGAAGACTGGATGAAGAGGAGGAAACCTTCAACCGTGGAAGTACGTCTCCATTCTGCCGAAGATTATGCTCGTGAAGAACAGAGAATTGCATTCTTACGATCCGGCAAAGACTTTGTGCTATCCATCGTAGAGGGTCCTCACACTACTCACAAGTATGGAACCAATTTGATCTGGAAACAGTATTTGAGAAGATTGACATTTCATGCTGCCCTGTCTTTCAACATGCTGACAGAAGGACAACTTGATTCCCACATGATCAATGAGAATGACTACGAATGGCTAAAGCTCTACCACTACATCATCACGACCACAGAATTTGTCAGGTGCAAAGGATATCCAGTGACGGAGGTCCTAGCCATGTTGACATTGGGCATTGAAGACACGGTGGAGGGCGAGATTCGAGTCAAGCTCAAGAAGTTGGGAAACAAGATTGGACAGTTCATCATCGGGAAACCTTGGTTGGACAAATGGGACGAATTGGGAGGACAAGTGAGAAACAACAAAGCTCTCATCTTGACGGATTTGACCTACCAAACGAGATCTAGCTCGAGAATCATCAATGACATTGAGGCTAGGCTCAACAACATGGGTCTTTCATCCATCAAGGTGTACCAACTTCCCTATGAGTCCCTGGAGAAGCCCGAGGATTTCCTGAAACTGGCAACGAATGCACTGGTTTTCCTACGAACCAACGCCAACACGTTCTCAAGTGCCACTGTTCATATTTGGATCTCTTTCGCAGCACTATTCAGAGGACAAAATCGCATGCTGATGCCAAATGCAGACTTCATCATCAAATTGGCGGAGATCATCACGGAGATCAGCCAAGTAGCACACCTTCCAATTTTCGTCAACATTCTGAAAGATGCCCGGTTTCTTGGGTCCCAATCTTTGATTGTATCCATGGCCGAGGAGCTTGCAAGAATCTTGAAGGAAAAGGGCATTTTTCACTCCACCAATGAAAGATTCTGGAAACAGATATATGCTTGTGGACGTGAGCCTTTCTATTGGAAAGAAGGTGAAGGCAAGGAAGTCATTTGGGCTATGCTTGAAAAATCACTGATGCGACAGAAGGTCTTCTTACATTGTGCTATGGATCATGATACAGTCCATAACCTGAATGAAGAATGCGTCCATGTGAAGAACACCGGATTTGACATTGAAACCATCAAACGATGCACAGAACATCCACGAATTGTTCCCAGCATTCGTGCTGGAGAGATCACAGATGCTCAAGCTGGATCGGCAAACATCATTGGAGGAATGAAGCACATGAAAGATTCGGTCCAGAGAAGAGCATGGTCAGACATCCGACGAGGAGTATTCACCCCGGAGCCCCTGACAGATGTGGATGAGCATTGGGTCGAGGTAACCGAAGATTCCGAATTGATGTGCGATGTGTGCAAAGGATTTCATAAAAATGATTCGAGATTGAATACCTGCACTGAGAACCGCACAAGATGTCTGAATTGCGCAAGCAACTGGACGAGAGCGGCAATCTACGGAACTGAAGACATTGGGATGGATGAATTTTCACAGGATGCAAGAGTAGCTGCAAGATTGCTCAACATCTACAATGAATGCGTTGACTGGAGAGAAATGGAAGCCGAGAAGGACCTCCGTGGATTTTTGGTCACTGCAACACTTGCAATGCTATCAGGATACAGGACGACAAGCGATGTACTCAAACAGGTATCACATCGAGGTGCCATCCGAATGCCTGCATACATGGTGAAAGGGAAATGCAGACGAGACCTGTTACCCCAATTCAATGTGCAACGTGAAACACGAACAGAGGATTGCGGAGGCGGAATGCACCGAATGCGATGGTTTTACAGACTGCTTTGGGATGGTGGAAACGTCGCTTATCATGACTACATGAAGACCGTGCTGACCAAGGAGGAGATCGCATCCATGCTCAATCCAACCGCAACAGCTGAGTACGTCGGCGACATTTTCGAATTCTGGCTTGGGATGCTTGACCTGGGTATTCAATTCCCTACTATGTTTGGTGGATGGGGGGCAAACCTTGACAGTTGCCTCGCAGGACTGGAAGAGTCATTCTGGCTATTCAGCAGTTCATGTCGACCTACCGACACCATCAACACGAAGCGAAACCGATCCAGGAAAGCATACATCCCGCCGGTCGAGAACGACATGGTGACAACCGTCTTGAAAGAAGCGGGAATCTTCGACCTACTCCTGCAGAAGAAGATCACCAGAATGCCGGTGCTCCCGGAAGCCAACTACGATGACCACCCTGAAATGATTGAGGTCTCATCAAGCGATGAGGAGGAGGACGAAGTTGGCGAGCCTGATGAGGAGACCACGACGCCTACGGCGCGGGGCCCTCGAGCAGAACAGACTTCAGGAGAAACTGATGCCGGAGCCGGTGACATCGAAATTGAGGAGGAGGAAGATGACATGGGGGGCCAACCTTCGGAAGCAAAGAAGCGCCGAACTGAGGTGCGGAACATCCGTGATCGATTTGAGAAGCTGATTGCAGACGCATCGAGTGTTCAATATTGTTTCATTTGTGGTGGAATGCATGACATTGATGAATGTACCACACCAGATGATGAGAACATGAAAGACACCCTATGGCGCATGAGATTGATCATGGACCAGAAATCCAAATCCCCATCGTCATCGGAAAGATCCAAAGCTGCAACCAGAGGCAGAAAAGATAAGCTCCCGAAGAACGTCATGCCACGAGGAAAACGTTGG